GGGTCTATGGTGCTGTTTTGGGGGTGTATGGGGCTGTTATTGAAGTGGGGGGGGACCCCCCAGCTGTTCAGTGGGGGGTGTACAAGGCTGTTAGGGGGGGTGTGGGGTTCATGAGGCTGTTCTGAGTGGGTGTGGGGGGAGCCCCTAGCTGTGTAGTGTGGGGGTCTATGGGGTTGTGGGAGCCCCCAGCTGTGCAGTTTTAGTGTTTTCTAGGGGTAGGGGAGCCCCCTTTTCCTGGGGCAGGTGAGCAGGAGGCTTCCTCTCCCCTTCCTTTGTGTATTTAACTTGCATCGAAACATCTCAGACCCCCCTGGCCTCTGGGAGCCCCTGGGCCCGGCCTGTGGCCTGACTCAAGTTGATGGCACCACCATGTCCTAGGTTACATTGTCCCCTGCCCTGTGGTTGGAATCTGTTGATCTTTGTGTGTTTTCTCTATGGCGGTGTGGTTAGAGCAGGGAGCCTGGGAACCAGGACGCCTGGGTTCTATCCCTAGCGTTGGGAGGGGAGTGGGGTCAGTGGTTAGAGCAGGAGACTGGGAGCCAGGCCTCAAGAGCTGTGTTCCCAACAGGAACAACCCAGGGCCAACCTTTCTTCCTGATTTGGATGGGCTTGCAGTTTAAACTGCTTTTGGATCATGAATCCGGTAAGCAACAAAGTAGTGAATTATTGGGTGACCATGAGGCATTAGTTGGTAGATCTCCCACTAAGTATAATAGCAACTGGGCTTTTAGGGTCAGGGTTTTCCTGAGAGCTAGAGAAAGGAGGATATTCCTGATACCTCTGGATAGAGAAGCGATAAACTGAAAGTAGAAGAAAATTAATTCTCTCCTGCAGTGATGCTGGAACAATTTTTATAGTGGGGGTGCCGAGAGCTATTGAATCCAACTGTAAACCCTGTATATGATGAAAACCACTTCAAGTCAGGGGGTGTGGCAGTACCCCCAGCATCCCTAGTTCCAGCACCTATGCTCTCCTGTGTAGCACAAAATTAACTTGTGGAATTCCCTGCCACAGGATGCTACCAATGCACAGTGCTTGGGTAGAAGTTGGAAAAAAGTTAAGATTGTTTTTTAATACAAAACCTCACCCTCATGCTTCAGAGCTGATCACTGGCTAATGGTCAGGAAGGCACCCAATCCGAGTGCACAGTTAGGTCCGTTTCCTCCATGCCATCCAGGAGAGAATGGATCTAGACTGGCCCATTGGTCTTCTCTGGTGCAGCAAGGAAGGGGGTGGTGGGGACACTGCACTCAACAGACCATTGGTCATTTCTGTTTTGGCATCTTCAGGAACAGAATTCAGTCTGTGCCCAGTCCCAGTGCTAATGCAGGGGAAGGGCTGTCTTGTCATTGACCGATTAGACCAAGCACCTATTGTCTTCTCCTCCACGTGCGGGTGGAAGGGAAGATCCTGCAGGCTGTGGGGTTGTGCTGGCATAAGGCAGCTAGGGGGAGGCCGGAGACGGCAGGTGAGGTGTTCCTCTGAGGTCTGACTGGTATTTAGTCTTGCCGTAGCTGGGGCGCCAACTGGGGATCAGGGCCCCGTTGTGCTGAGCGCTATGCGGGCAAGCCATAAAGAGTCCCTGCCCCAGAGACCTTACAGTGCAGGGCTGGATCCCTAGCTGGGGTAAATTGGCTGTAACTCCATTGGAGTCGGTGGGGCCAGATCCCCAGCTGGCATAAATCCGCTTTGCTCCACTAACTTCATTGTAGTGCTATGGCAAGCCCTCTGGGGTGCGGGGTGTCTGTCTGTCTGTCAGAGCTTGTCAGCTTCTCTGGTGCATGGGCTGCGTCCTCCCCCATCTCATTCTCAGCCTGCTCAGAGGGGAAAGCAGGTGGGGTGGAAGTTGAAAGGGGGGGGCGTTGCTCATAAAACACGCGATTGTCCGGTCATCAGGTTCCTCCGTGACCCCAATGTCACTGAGCCGGAGTCAGCTAGGACTTCGGTTGTGTGGCGAGATTCCTTGCAGCGCTGTCCTAGCCAGGGAGGGGCTGGGGTTGTGGTGAGCTTCCTCAGTGCGGTGTCATAGCTGGAAAGGGGTCAGTGGTGTGGTGAGCTTCTTCACTGTGGTGCCCTGCCTCTCCGAGCTCAGGCTGTAGCTGGGAGTGCTGGGTGGGGCCGGTCTCTCCCCCAGATATGGTCTCCACAGGCTGGAGAGAGGAATGGGGCCGGCTGCCTTTCCCTGGTGTATGGGGTAGGTGTTGGTAGGGTCTGTGCCACCTCTGAGCTGGCTCTAACCTAAGACCCTGCAGTACCAAACCAAACTGTCCCCAGTGGCTCTGGAGTGGGGTTGGGGGATGTTTTGTGGGTCTTGTGTCTCTTTGTGTAACAAGCCCTGGGCAAAGGTGTCTGTTGGGCACGCGGGACCAGCTTACCTCTTGGAAAGTGGTAATTGCTAAAGCTATTCTCACTGGAGTGCTTCCCTGGGTGCATCTCGGCCCCTCCGTGTCGCAGCAGGACAGACACATGGACAGCATTGCTGTGCGGTGCTCCAGACTGCTGCCCATGCCGGGGGAGTTAGAGTAGTCAAGGTCATGCTCCAGGGCAGGAGCTGGGCCCTGGAGCAGGGTCAGGAAGGGGATTCCTCAACTGCCCCTGCAGCGCATTCGGCCAGTAGCATGGCTGATTCGGAAGCCTTGGATGTTGACGGGTGCTGGTGGCAGGGTGCTGGGCTGACGTGATGTAGTAAATATCTTCATCCCCACCCCCATGCTCTAGTGTCTCTTAACATTGCGGCAGTAGGGGAAGCTACAGGACTTGAGTGGCTTGGTGACCTTCCTCCTAGCAGTGACCTGGGTGGATTCTACATATAGGGGGAAATAGAGGCACAGCACAGATGGGGAGTAACATACCCTGAGATCACCCAGCAAATCAGTGTCCGAGATAGGAATAGAACCCAGGACTCAAGGCACCATTCGCTTCTGCTGTAACCACTAGACCCCACTCCCCTGTCAGAGCTGGGGGTAGAACCCAGGAGTCCTGGCTCTCAGGCCCTGCTGCTCTAACCACCAGACCCCACTCCCTTCTCAGATCTGGTGGTAGAACCCAGGAGTCCTGACTCCCAGCCCCCCCTGCTCTAACCACCAGACCCCACTCCCCTCCCAGAGCTGGGGGTAGAACCCAGGAGTCCTGATTTCCCCCACTCCTGTGCTCTAACCACCCCCCACCCTCTTGCAAGGTGCTCTGTATTTTCAGTGCCCCGGATGTGCTATCTTGCTGATTTCACAGCTTGGCCTGTGCAGCTGTGGGAGCTATTGGCGTCTCTGACCAGATATCGCTTGGACCCCTACACTGGGGGCTGCCATTACTGGTCCCTTCTGCTGCTGCCAGGGCTATGGGGTTCCTGCTGGGCCTGGTACCTCTCTGCCCCCCATCCCGGCCCCCCTTTCAGCTCCGGCTTTGCCAGCTATTTACTGATTTAATAAAAAGATTTTGCTCTTTCTCTCCCCCCCCCGATTTAATTAAATCGACTTCACGTTTGCGGAACCGCTGTCAAAAAGCCCGGCAGCGTCTTCCAGCAGGGGATTAATGGGGCGAGCAGCCAGCAGCCAATGACAGGCGTCTGCTTTGCATAGTGATGAGATCCTCTGGTGGGCCGGGGGTGAGCTTGGACCTTGCGTTGAGGGAAGGCGGGGGAGGGAGGGCACTGGAGCTGTGCGGCCCCGGGGACGAGGCTGCAGTCAGATCAGGATGCTGAGCGCTGGGTGAATTCGTCCTGCTGCAGACACAAGCTGCGTGCCTTGGTGCGGATAACGCTGCTCCGGCGGTGGGATAATGGGCCGACGAGTCCTGCTGTCACCCCAAGACTGTCTGGGCTCCGGTGGGGAGGGAATGAGTCAGCCGGAGAACAGGCTGCCTGGACTTCTGTGTCTTCCTTACACCCCTCCGCCCCTCCCATCTTGACTGTGTGTCAGTGGCGTGGGGAGCTGCGTCTGAGCAGTGCCAGCTAGACCCCAGGGCCAGGGCAAAGCAATCCAGAGTGCTGGGCCCAACCTCACATAGGGCACTTCCTTGGCCCCGCCCCCTGTGCCATGACTCCGCCCCCTCTTGTATTGGGCACGGCTCACGCACTCAACCATCCTATTTCTCCTCCCCCCGCCCCCTTCTTTGGTCTTTATCTTCTGGCTGGGCTGGGGTCCATTCCCGAGATGGGGAGGCGCCTTCCTCCCTCAGAGAAGGTTGGGAGTTTTTCAACAAAATGTCCACCCCCCCCCCCACTGGGAAACGCTGATGCGTCAAAACCCAAATTTTTTGTGGGAAAGTTTTTTTGGTTTTGACAAATTTCCTGATTGTTTTTTTTTTTTTTGGTG